GGAATTTTTGAAGTATTTTTTGTTTACTTATTTCTTCTAATTTTGTATTTTTTCTCTTGTACTTGTTGATAGGTGGAAGCAAAAAACTTGTGTTCAGGCTCAATTCTTCGAACTGCGCGAGGCTAGACAGAAAGGGCTGCAAGTCACCGACCAAGAAATACGGTATTTGCTAGTCGTGGGCCGTGATAGTCTAACCTCGAGCTTGTCACTGACGATTCAAGAGGAGATAAAGAAGCTATATGGTGGTATCCTTCCTCGATGAGGCGATGATGATGGAACAGGAGGTGCAGTACAGCTCGAGATTTGTTGAGACCTTTACGACCTTAGCTTCCTCCATTTTAAACGCTTGACACTAACACTTTAATATTCATTATTAGAATATAATGAACTATGTTACATTTGCACGTGAAGTTTTCATTAATCTAGCTTTGAATTATCAATGTGTGTGAAAATTGAATGTGTTTTGCCTCCCATTTTAGTATCTAATGCCTAAAAACAGATAAATTCAGGTTGATCATCCATATATTTGCGACGGAACCATCTGTTGCTGTTTCTGTCACAGATCTGCGACGGAGGTGTCCGTTGCTAATTCCGTCGCAGATCTGCAACGGTTCTTAATTTCCGTCGCAGATTACATCCGATGAAAAAAGGGAAATTCCGTTGCAGGTCCGTCGCAGATCTGCCACGGAATTTAAATTCCGTCGCAGATTTTAAATCTGCCACAACTTTTCTGCGACGGAAAGCTTTCGTAGCAGATCCGTTGCAGAATGGAAATCTGCCACGGAATTTCAAAATCTGCCACGAAATTTGTCTGTTGCAGATCGGTAGTTTTCTTGTAGTGATGATAGAGGTGCCACAATTGGTCTGTTCATCGTAGGGAGATGGTGATTAAAACGTTACCCACATATCTAACCACCATATTAATAATTGTCACACCATTGTTGATCTGGTCACTAGGGAACTTCCCATCGCCGTTGGGAGACCATCTCACCATCGTTGCTATGGAACATCTCACTGCCACCATTGGGAATCATTTCGCGGATGTTATTGAATAATGGAACAATTGTATTACTCACAAAATAATGAATACAAGGTAGTGTATATATAGAGGGAATACAACCCCAACTAGAACTAGGAAACAATAACAGAAGCTGACTAAAACACAAAGTCTACCATAACTAATATTGACTATAATTATTTGTCTAACATCCCCTCTCAAGCTGAATTTTGCATCATGAACAGAAGCTTGGAGACAAGAGACTTAAAACACAGCTTCGGCAACGTCTTAGTTAGCAAATCAGCCAACTGATCTTCAGAGAAAACATGAGATACACTCATAACACCAACAATGACTTGCTCTCGATCAAAGTGACAATATGTACCCACATGCTTCATACATTTGTGGAATATTGAGTTCTTTGTGAGACATATAGCAAATTGATTATCACAAAAAAGTTTTGGATGAGAAACTGGTATATGGAGATCATTCAGAACATAGGTGACCCGCATAACTGTTAGACAATGTGTGCAACTCTAGAGGAGGGGGGAATAGAGTTGTTGAGAATGTTTACCGTTTTTTGTATGATTATAAAATAAATAAAAGTGCAGCGGAAATAAAAGAGAGAAGGCAAAGAACACACCAATGTATACTAGTTCAGCACCTCGTGGCTAGTCCAGTTCGAAAAAATTCTTAATTGAAAAAATTCCTAGTTTTGGAAAAATTTGATGTCTGATCCGAATTGATCTTTGACCATAGAGTGAAAGCTTTGAAAGACATTGAAAGCATCGATTTTATTTTTAAGAGGGTAAAAGCAGCAAAACTTTGTAAAATCATCCACAAAATTGATATAAAATTGATATCCACAAAACAAAGTAACAGAGGTAGGATCCAAAACTTCAGAATGTATTAATTGAAAAGGTGCAGTAGTAACAATAGTAGATAAAGAAAAGGGTAATTTATGGGACTTAGACATAGAACAAAAATCACACTGAAAAGCATCCTAGTTTCCAAACGGACCCTTAATCTTGAATGCGGAGAAGATAAGGAGAGGGGGGAAGATCTAAGAAAATTCTAAATAGATAGAGGCGTGGGTAAAGAATGGTCTGAATGAATTATTTGGTGTGGGTGAGGTTTTAGAATTAGGAAGTAAATGAGGGTAAAATAGTGTCTATGTTGTGCTTATAGATGCTAAATATTGAAAATGGACAGACTGAACAAAAATAGCGTAACAGAGGGAGTACAAAACAAAAGGTCGATTAAAATGAATTTTGAATTGGGGGGCACTAAGCCCGAACCGAAATAAGGCCCGATATTCGAACTGCTGCACAAAAGGAAGTCAAAGGCCCGGTACCAAGTCCACCACACCTATATCAATCGAAACCCTAATCGGAACCATTCTTCTACGTCCTTCCCTTTCACTTCCGCCTCTTCCTGCACAGCGCACACACCCTCACATTTCTCTATCAAAAATGGTGAGATTCTCTACCATAATCGAAGTCTAATGTGCATCTACAGTATCAAAATCTCTGCTTTTGTTGTTTTTAACAGTGAAAATTTGCTTTCATTGTGCAGCCGTTCAAGAGGTACGTCGAGATCGGAAGGGTTGCACTCGTCAACTACGGCAAGGATTATGGAAAGCTTGTCGTCATTGTGGATGTCGTGGACCAGAATAGGGTATGGCCATTTGAAGCTAACTTTTTTTTTCCTGTTAACATTTTGCTTTACTGTCCTCTTGTTGCATAGCTTTTGGTTGTTTGGCGTGTTTGTTGATTCTCTGCATCGAGTGAGGGGTTTTATTTGAAGCTTATATCTGTAAATTTGTTGATTTTATGGAATTGTTATTTTTTTCGTAAAAACATTGTACCATGTAGTGGCATTCATTGTTTCTTGCTGTAGTTCAAACTGTGTAAGAAATGCTTTGTTTTGTTCTCAGACAATTTTGTGCCATACAAGTGCACTTTTGAGGTTTTATATATTCATTAGCTATAAATATAGATATGTGTGTGTTGATCTTGTTTATCCGTGCATCAGATAGTACTTCATCAACCATGAAAGGTTTATATCCTTAGGATCATTTGTAGTATTATTTCAATTTAAGGCTTCTGATTCACTCCGTATTTCTTCAGTTATTTTTGATTTGGTAAACTTGGATTAAACATACATTGCCACAAGAAAGTGAAGTGTGTGAAGTGTTTGTTGGGGTATATGAGATTCTATGTCACTAGAACATTGTTCTGGTTTTGTGTCTATTTGATACTCCGTAATATTTAAAAAAACAAATAGAACAGTACAATTGCTGTCTATCTATATTATTATTATTGTTATACACATAAAGTCTTTTATAGTTATTCGTTAACTGTGAGTTTGAAGAATGAACAAAATGATCCCTCGCCTATTTTGAATCTGGCAGGCTCTTGTTGATGCCCCTGACATGGTAAGAAGCCAGATTAACTTCAAGAGGCTTTCTCTCACAGATATCAAGATTGACATTAAGAGAGTTCCAAAAAAGAAAACTCTTATTGCTGCTATGGAGGCTGCTGGTGGGTTTTGATTTTTTGTGTGGAAAATTTGGTATCGTTAATTGCAGTGAGTGATTTCAAAAATTTCTATGCCTGTCAGATGTCCAAGGGAAATGGGAAAAGAGCTCTTGGGGTAAGAAGCTGATTGTCCAAAAGCGAAGGGCTGAACTCAACGATTTTGACCGATTCAAGTTGATGGTTGCGAAGATCAAGGTATCCCCATCATACTCTTGCATAATATATCCCATCATGCTTCTATATTGAATTATGTTAGTTAGAACTGAATATTAGGAGGAAACAAAAAACATCTAAAAAGCATGGTAGCATATTTACGTAGTATTTTGTTAAAATCCAGGGAGTTCAAACTTCCAATGTACCTTGTTTCTAAGAAAGATATAACTTTTTTGCTACCTAGGCTTTTGAAACCCATCTTTTTTACTATGATGTGAGCATTTCGTTCTTGGAGACGCTGAAATTTTCTTCTATTTACATTGCAGAAAGCTGCTGTTGTCCGGAAAGAGCTTTCTAAGCTGAAGAAAGAGACTTCATCTTGAGTAGTTTGGTTCCTTTGTTACAGTGGGTTTTGTTTTGGATTTTGAAACCTGTATTTGTTTCTTTATGCAGACGTGTGTTCTGAGTTTCTTATTACAGATGATTGAGTTCATGAATTTTGTTCTTCATGGTTTCTTATTGCTTTTAAAATCATGTCTCTTTTATTACCTCTTGATTTTTGTTGCTAAATTTAAGTGTCTGATCTCTACTCTTCTATATTTAATCTCTTTCTTTGGTATTGTTTTGACTCCCAGTTTTAAGACAATAAACCCTAAAACAAGCTTTATGTAAAAGCTAAGTTTTTGTTCGCAACTATTTAAATTTCACGAATCCAATGATTAATTGCTCATATACTTGTGAAAGTTGTAAAACAAAAAATGCTTCGCAACACAGAATTGTTTGGTTTTAGCAGTTTTATTACTTTTGCCCTAGCATATTGTCTTCTATGTGAGTAGTTGATTGTAATAATATGGTATAGTATCTTAAATAAATATATTCTACGCAAGTTTTTTGTGTGGGAGTTTTTTTATCAGGCAAATCAAATGAAATTATTATTGGATAATTATACAATTGCGTTGTAAGGTGTAACTTTTAAAACTTATTAATCTCAAAATAGGTAGTAATGTCTTATCTACATATAATTTCTTTGATGCTAATTTTTCACAATGGTAAGGAAATGCCTTGCCTAGCCATGTTAGCAAATACCGTCTAAATCATCACATTTCATGGTCATTCTACGTTCTACCCCACTTTTCATTCCATGTGCAAGATATGACTCTTCCATTTTTTATTTTTTTAGTATTTTTAATATTTTTAATTTTTAAAAAGAAACACTTTTTAAAAGAAGTAGACATATTTTAATAATAAAATAGATGTGTAAAATAGTTTTTGATAATTAAAAATAATTAAAAAGTGCAAAATAGAAAAGAATAATGACTTGCCAACATATGTTACGACACTTCACTCACTTGTCACACGGTGACTGGGTTATTTTTTATTGGTTGAAATATTTCATTTACCGTGTGATATTTCATTTTTGTCTTGCCATTGCTAATGCTCTTAAGGGGCGTTTGGTTCCGTGGCTAGAGATTGTCCTAGAAAATACTAGAATCTTATGTGAGGAAATGAAAGATTAGAGTATAATGATTATTTTAAGAAGAGGCTAGGATATGACATTAGATAGGAGTCTTGGAAGGGTGGGATAAGGTAATTCGGTAGACATATTAAGCTAGGGTAGTTGATTACGGGCATGTTTGTGAATAGCTTTTGAAAAGGCTATCAACGGGTAACGTTTAGCGTTATCGTTTTTAAATTTAATCTACATCGTTAAGATTTTATTCAAAACGCTAACGCTAGTCGAAAATGTTATTCTCAAACAGACCCTACCTATATCATACATCCAGATGTACGGTGTTTTTTGTACACCTGCATGAATATTTATTTTTGAGTAACGTAATACTCATTTTCGAGTAATCGAATATTTATTTTTGAACGTAACTAAATTTTAGAAAAATAAGTATTCAGTTGTTCTAAAACAAGTACAAGTAATCAATTGGTCAAGAAGGAGTAACCGGATAATTGTAAATGAATACTCACCGCGGATGTACGAAAAACATCGTACAACCGGCTTGTAAATGAGTACTCGCCGCGGATGTTTTTCTCTTCTTTGTATCAATATCAATTACCATTTACCACTACATAGATTTCACTTTATTATTAAAGGTGTGTTTAGTGAAATTAGATAATGTAAAATCAGACAAGATATATAGTGAAGAACAACACAAAAGAAGTATAGTCACCTAGATGATAAAAGTACATCAAGATAATGGAGTAAGATGAACACCCCTTACTCTAACCCACTTATTTAGACTAAAATGTCATCTAAATATGATGGTGCACTTAGGTGGAAGGGGTTGGTTAGTAGGGGGCAGCGTAAGTGCCCAATGTTATAATGACAATAATCATCGGGGTTCATAGAAACTGAGAAAAATCTGGAAGAGGTTTTTGAATTCCCAAACTCACTCTAAAGACTCTAAACTCAATCTATCTAATAAAAATGAGACACTTGTATTCAATAACAATTGTTTTATTAAAATCAAAATTAGTTATAATTATGTCTACTTATATAATTTTATTTTGTTATGTTTTTATTTTTATTTTATGTAATTTTTATTTTATGAAATTTTATATTTTAATTCTTTTATGTTTGGAATTCTCTTAAGGATCAACTAAAATGG